AATGGTAATTGGCCAAAAAAAAAAAAAAGGTTAATATACTGAGGCATGGTACAATGTATATTAACTTCAAAAATCTTTTGTTAAATAAGCCAGTCAAAAAAGAACACCTATAGTAAAACTATATTCATATGCAATGTCTGAATAGGAAAATCTGAGCAAGAAAGCAGACTGAAAGTTGTCTAGAAGTGGGAGTTTGGGAGAGAGAAAGAAAGGGTAGGGTTTGGGGGGGAATGGCTACTAATAGTTGTAGTGTTTCTATTTGAGTGATGAAAATATACAGTTGACTGTGGTTATTATCATACATATCTGTGACTACTCATAAATGAATAGAGTAGTATGTAGATTACATCTCAATAAAATTAAGTAAAAAAACATTCATAGAAATGGGTGAATTGTGTATAAAACAATAAGGAATGGGTAAGTTTTGGGAAAACTCAATACTGAATTCCACTTAAAAGCATTCATGTCCAAATTTTAAAGCATTGGAAAAATGAACAAAATTATCTAAGGTAAGGAGCAACCTTTGCAACACACATTGGAAGCACACCTAGAACTGGATGACGGAGCGATATTGAACAACATTACGTACAGAAAGTAAATAGTGACATTCTTGAGTGAATACATATAGCTTGCTGAGAGCCAGCAAACATGGGTGGACCTAGAAGAGAACATGCTTAGCGAAATGAGCCTGACAGAAAAATAGCAGTAACAAATGGTTTCACTTACAGGAGGAATATAGGGGAACTAAAAGCTCAGAGGAAAAACTAAAAAAAAAAAAAAAGGAAAAAGAAAACACAATAATCATAATGATTATAATTACATAAATAAGACATTTTGTGAGGGAGGGGAAGAAAAAAAAGATCAAAATGGGAGAGATGAGCACAAGAGACTATAGTAATACTTTATGGGTAAACTGGTGTTGGGTATTATACAGGGCATACATAATGATGTAAAAGCGAAAATAAAAACATTATAAAAAATAAATTAATTGCACCTCACACACAAAAGACATATGGAAGATATTGCTAGTGGTAGGTGGCTGAGAGAATGAACAGTGGGATAAAAGGCAAGATTATTCCATTATAATGGGCCAATGCTAAGATCAAACTTCATCTTGAGTATCAAGAACCCAACATTGATTTCCAAGTATCACTTTAAGATTTCAAGGTTTTTCTCAGGTTTTTATTAAAAAAGATTATAATAAATGATTCTAAGTCATAGTAGCAAAATGTTCTGTTCTTGTACAAAAATCTGATGACATTACAATGATGGGAAATATCTATAATTTAAAAGTCCATTCACTTAAATATTTGGGTATTTATAAACTTCTGGTTATGAATAGGGTGTATGACTCAGATTATATAAACATCCAAATTCGTATTGAGTTTTTCTTCCTGAGGTTATAAATATACATATAGTGCTGAGAACTCAATAATAACATACTAGTAATTTGCATTATTGCATGCCTTCACGTATTATACACTAAGTGCTTAACCATATTAATGTCTTAACATTTCATAGTCTATTAATCTTCTTATAAATATCTTATTGCTATGAGACCATATTTTCTAAGTTACAGAGATAGAGTCACTTGCCCAAAAGTACAGTCTAAAAGCGAAATAAGCCAGCATATACCTAGCCAGTCTGTCTTTCCAGAGTTTGTTGACACTACCTGCTATATGAATTGTCAGAGATCAAGAGCTGGTCCTTCCTACTATACCTGTTGAATCAGACATTCTCTCCTTTAGAATGTAGAGTCCTTAACCTCTCCTTGACCATCCAATGTCTCATCTATGCCTATTACACCAGGCAATCTTTAAATTTTTCCTATCGTTGACTGTTTGATTTTCATTCATAAAGGCTCTTTTCAGTTCAGAACATTTACTCAGAAAACAGAATTATGGGAAGAACATGCATCATTTTCTTTTTCTTCTTCTATTCCATCTCAACCTTTTTTTTTTTTCTGCCACTATCAAATTTAACAATGGAAAAACAAAATGTGAAATATCCATAGAATGGAGTATTATTTTACAATAAAAAAAATGAAGCACCAATAATACATACAGTAACAAGTAAGCCTTGAAAACCTTATGCTAAGTTAAAAAATCTAGTGTGAATTTAAATTATTATAAAATTTCCAAAATAGGCAAATCATAGTAAGAGAAAAGATAAATAATTGCTTGGGGGTGGGAAGGGGAGATGAGAACATCTGCAAATGGGTATATTCATAGAGGCAAATTTGTATTGATGAAAGTATTGCACTGAATTGTACATCTTAAAATTTTCCTGGCATGTTTTTTATGGTATTCGATTTCTATCTTAATATAACAGTTATTAGAAAATAAAACTCCCCCTTTCTTACAAATCTGTTTGTCCGAAGGGCTGGATTTGTTGCTATTTCTTCATCAGAGAAAGAAATTCAATTACCTCACGAAAGAAAAGACGGCATGAAATAGTCTTACGTGCCAGAGTATTTTTGTGTGATTATTTGCAGTATGAGCACGGTGATGAATCCTCCTGTATAACCTGGCTATTGTGGCTTTATGTTTATTCCTTTCTGCTTAAAGATATATTTTCAGCTTGCATTTCTCGGGTGCTACAGGGCAGTTGCTTTTGGGAATGACTTCTTTCTGTCACTATGTCAGAAAATTATGCTCTTGAGTTTTAAGATACGTGTATCAAAGATCGACAGAGATCAGGATGCTGACGATGGGACATGGCTTCTAAACAGGGCAAGACTTCTTGCCAGACACATGAGATTATCTATCCTGAGCAAAGATAATTTCCCAGGGCTTTGTGTATGCTGCATCTTTCCTTCATTGTTTTGAAGTTGCTAACAAATTTCTTCCACCAACACACCTACTTTTCAGTTGTTTGTTTCAATACACAGCTTCTCTGAAGCCTCAGGCACAGCACTTTCAAATGTCAGCTGCGATTAGCTCTGCACATTCATCTTTGTTAACTTAGCTCTCCTGAATCATCTATATCTCTCAGAGGTGAGTCAGGTGCTTAACATTACATAGAGTGTGTGTGTGTGTGAGTGTGTATGTGTGTGTAGTGGGGCAGGGGTGGTGTATATGGTTTCTGAAAATAAGCCTTTATGGTGATCTTATCACTCTTATTTGCTTGTAAACATTTGTAGATCCCTCCAAGTAGCTAGGCTAAAACCTATATACCTTGTTTACAATCATCAGAGGGTAAAAAACTGCATTGAAACATTTTATCCATCCACCCATACTGGTTTTCTAGGACCTCAACTTTCATTTACAGAATTGGAAAGTACATTTTGAGAAGGAACAGGTTTATTTTAAAATGCAATACAAATATCATCATGCTTTTTTATCAGCAAAAAATTTCACTTTACCTAATTTGTGTTCCCATTACTTCATGCATAAGTGTGTGTATCTAGATGGATATCTCTATTTATATCTGTATATGTATATACGTGTCTGCTTCCATTGCACTTTTACCACCATCAACATAAGCACTTTCCTCAATGAGCCCAAACTTCCTGTTTCCCTACTCTGTAGCAAATTCCATTTCAAAGGTTTCATAAGTGATCTATATAAACAACTTAAATGCAGGTCAAGCCCGGATGCCACATATCAGTCACAATGTCTCTCTGATTCCTGCTAATAAGTTTGGATGACAGAGTACAGCAGGTCTTCAAATAACATCATCTCAAATAATATTAATAATACAAATAATGTGGATGAGAAAAAAAAAAAAATCCTGTGTTCCCTGTAGCTTCCTTTGAAATTGGGTTTCTAAGAACCAACTGATGATGTTAGATGAGGCCTTACTTTACAGACTGGTCAAACTAGCTTACTGATACCAACAGGTAGGTGAACCAGAAATCTACTTAATTGATGTAAAAACATTTGCTAAAATTATTAATAATAATTTCTACTGTTTCGGAATCATACAAAAAAGTTGCAACATAATGTCAAGTCCTCCAAAGTTGTGCAACAACTAGATGATCAGGCACAAGACAGATTATATCCCCATTTCTTAAGCTATCAATACTTGAAGCCCATCCTGTATGTAATAACTTCTTGATTTTTTTCCCTTGATCTAACATACTATTCTGAATCTTTGGATTATATGACAGATTAGTGCTTACATCAAAGAAAGTGAGGAGAAGTTTGGTTCAATCAGGAAAAATGGGGCAATGGTATGGTGAAGGACAGGTCTGGAATTAGAGGTCTACTTAGGACAATATACATACATGTTAATTCCCAATGATGAACATCTAAAACATTATAAAAACAATGCTCCATTAATGTATATGTGTGTGTGTGTGTGTGTGTGTGTGTGTGTGTGTGTGTGTGAAATAAAGCATGGGTGATCTATAAAATAGCCTGTAAGGTAATGATATTATTAGTTTTTGTTAGAAAAAAAATGCTGAAAAAGATACTACTTTGTTGTTTCAACTGTCCAGGAGTTGAAAGGATTCACCAGAGACAGAATGGGGAGAAGAATATAGGTGAATCTACTAAAATACAATGCTGAGGGGAGCAGCAGAATAATAGGAGAGGTCTGCTGCACCATGTGGGTTAGCTTCCTGGCCGGGGATCAAACTCATACTGCAGTGGCTGCTGACAGATTGATAACATGAATTATAACCCTTGTGCCACCAGGCAGACCCTATATATTTTTAAAGGGAATTCCTTCGTGTGAATAAAACTTTATCCCAGTTTTAAGTTTGTACCACAAGAGCATGTACTTTTGTGTTTAGCCATTTTCCATCTTGAGCCAAAGATCAACTAGCATGGCCCATTCAGTTACCTACTGTCTCCAAGGAGAATGTGTATCTATATAAAGTTTTTCCTGGTATTGCTAATGTAAGCCTCATTTGATCAAAAAAGCCACCTGTGTATTTATAAACGCATTTACTAGCCCAAGCAATTGGGAAAACAACAGCCAATCAAGAACTATTCAGCTCCTTTCCAGCAAACCTTCTCTTTGTTAGAAAAACAAGTGCTCACAGCAGTTCTTACCTGCAGTGCACAACCATAGGGCCTGCATCAGGAGGGTTACAGGTTTTCACTCTTCGCAAGAAAGCTAGGAAAGGTGTAGGGTGTTCCGGAACACCATGGTCAGGCCAGGCGGTAAACTGGAATTGTCTCACTTCTCTCTTCTCACTCGAACCATTCTGTGAAGTGGGAAGATTGGCTGAAATTCTGGTGTCAACCTCAGACATGATGAGCAGTAGCTTGGAAGGGCTAACAGGGAAACAAGCATGTGTGCAAATGTAACTCCCTCCCCCATCTGTTGGGAAGTCACACTCTGAGATCTCCACTGCAAGCTATTTGTTAATGACACGTATTTGCTCAGGAAGACAAAACTCTTAGGTAGGAAGTGTTACATTTTTCAGGTTTAGCTCTGAGGAGCACTTCAGCTCTATTTTCCAGGAAGAACTAGTTCTTCTTCATCTATTCTTTATTTTCCGAAACTTAGTTCAGAGCAGCAGTTCCATATTTACTGATAAATTGCCAGACAAGGAGAAAAATTGCTGAATGATAATAGGAGAATTATTTCATACTTCACTGTTGCCAGTAGAATCAAGATTTAAGCAGAGCCTTAAGACATCTGATTTCTCAAAAGCAGCTTTCTTTCACTAATGAGAAAAGGGAGGGGGGATCAGAAGCAAACCTTGTAAAGTGCAAATGTTCGAACGCAGTATGTGGCCAGCTCCACGGTGTCCAGCAGCGTCACTTGGACCAACCCATGGGTTTCTGTGCCTCTGCTGGGCCAATACTGGTCACACTTCACCTGAAAGAGACAAGTGACGTCTTCAGGGCAGATGCTCATCAATTTCTCTATTAGTTTTACTTTGAGTTGCTGCTGGAGGAAAACAGCTTTTTTTCTGCATTTCATTTTATGTTGATCTTTCTCTGGCATGCATTCTTATTATCCCAATGTATGTAAATTACTGCGCTGATGCCAATATAAACCACATTTTTCAAACTGGTAGGAATATGAAGCAGTAACAGATTCAATTTTCCTGGAGAAAAATAAATTGCAGATTGTTGCTGAGTAAAATAAGGAGAGAGGTATTTGAAACTTTAGAGAACTTGAAAAGAAAACACAAATTTATTCTGGGATAGATGTTATGAATCGTATTGGGGAGATTACGCTCAGGCATTTAAACTACATGGTGACACAGTTAGTGTTCATCCATCAAAGTTTAAAAGGCACAAACTAGTTCATCTTGAGCTATCACAATTTTCAAATATGCTTGTTTAAAGAAAACTAGAAATAATTTGCAAATCTATCAAAGCATAATAAACAACATAGCATACTTAAAATGCAAGATAAATGGTATGTGCATCTCAAACAAATAAACATAATGTCTAGGGGAAAAGGAGCTGCTTTAATATTTTTTTATGAATAGTCTCAGGGGATCATGCACTACCGATGCAATGTTTAAATACTATCTGTAACTTCTATGTGGAGTCGAGTAAGAGCACGTAAAAACTATTCAACCAATTAGTTTAACATGCAACAAAGAATAATTCCAAGAGAGCAGTAAGCCTTCAGTTTCCTGAATGGGTCCTCTGAGTATTAACAAAGCATTAAAAAGTGAAAAATGACAAACATGGCACTATATTTTCTAGGAAGGCCATACACAGATCAGAATACATTTATCCTTATTATTCCCAAGTTTTTTTTTTCCTTAAATGGGAGTACTTATTAAATATGACAAATTATATGTATTTCTCTAGCTAAAGAAATCTGTTATAATTTAGGATTTAGAAGCATGCCTTCTACTCACAAATAAATAAATAAAAATGTTACAATCTCTGGATTTAAACAAAAGCAATAGAGGCATTACTATCATAGATACTTTTTGTCCAATGGGATCATTAGACAGTTATGTGCTTGTATATTGAATAGAAGTATTAGTGGTATTCTGGGAAAAATACTGAAATTTTATGATTTAGTTAGATTAGCATCTGCTTCTCAAAGGACTCAGCCTCTTTCTGTCCAGATGTTGGACCTTCTAAAAAGGGAGAGGTTTATCTTCTACAAGATTTCCTAGACAAGAAAAAGGAGAATAAAGTTTTAAAATATTCTTATATGCTGAAGCAGAGATTCAATTCACCGGAGTGACTCAAAACAGCAAAGTTACACTTAATAAGATTTTTAAAATATATTTGGTTTCTTAGATTCATAAAATATTCTTTAGTGTTTATTTCTAAATAAGTTCTAACTCAAAGGCAACGTGAGGGAAAGACAATCTTTTAAGAACAGTGATACAACCTAAGTAGGGTTATGTATTTTTATGTGTTCTCTGACCATCTATTATAACTCAACTAATGGGGCCTCCCTGATGACCTAGGCATTAAATCTCCGTGCTGTCACCACAAAGGCCTAAGTTCAATCGCCAGCCACAGAACTAACCCTCATGGTACAACAGACCTTTCCTGTCTTGCCCACTGCTCCCATCAACCGTACTTCAATAAATCCATCTACTCTGCTACCTACTGTGTCTCTGGTGAATCCTATCACCCTTACCCCTTCAGTTCTAGCCTATACCCCAGTTCTTCCAAGCAAGAACAATAATAATAATAAAAAAAAACATATTCAAAAGCTAAAATAAAACAAGTAACACCTGAATATATTCCAACATATCTGTTTCCTCTGCAAAAATATTTCATGATGACAGTTTATGAAAAATAAGTTTGAAGAATGTGCACACACATAAACACAGGGCCAGCAACGGGACTAGAGGCTTCCCCCAGTTTATCTCAAGAGCTACAGCAATTCACTGTTCCCTTCATTACTAGAAAATTCAGTATGGTTTTCCCCCACCCCACCCTGACCCCATTCTGAGTAACAGTCACAAATTCCATTTTAGGACTTAATTTCAGGGCTTAGCTTTGCTTAACTATATTAAAACCTTGTTTTTCAGTGAATATAGTTAACAAATTTCATGTTGTAGAACAAGCCAGAAGTGTACTGACAAAAGAACACAGGAGAAGAGAAATGATTCTGTTCATCTGCTCCCCACCTCACCAGTTCATGCAAGTGAACTAGCTCCATTTTCCTCTATTGAAGTGGTGTTTCACAGCAGTCCTGCCCCCATCTTTTCTTTTTTTTCCTGGAAGGAAACCTCAGAAGGTGCTTCTGGACAGGGTAACTACTTGTTACACTTCATGCAGAGAGCAGAGTGTTAATGTTGAGAAGTGTAAGAGGTTCCACTTTGAAAAATTTTTATACACACACACATGCATACATATACATATACATAGAAGGGAGGAGATACTGAATTTTGGCCTTTTTCTATTTGATTACAATGAGGAAGATGGGGAAGTCTTACTGGTTGACCAATAGGCTACTTCTTTATTCCTAGGATTAACACCTATAAGCCCTCATCTTTAAAATGGGAATGAGGGCCTCCCTGGTAGTGCACAAGTTAAAGTCTCCACTATTGCCAGCCACCGAGACATTGATTTCATCTGTGGCAGGGAGGTGACCCACATATTCAGCAAACCTCTTCTATTTCTCCCGATGCTCCCCTCAGCAGTATGTTTCAGTCAATCTGCCTGTTTTGCTCCCCACTCTGTCTCTGGGGAATCCTCTCTCACACACACCCCACCTCCAGCACCTTTGACCTATACCCCAGTTCTTGTGTGCATAAATAAAAATAAATTTTTTAAAAAATAAAATGGGAATGGCATGTCCTGTCTGACAAGGCTATTACAATAAGGCTCAAAAGTGAAACTCGAACCAATGACTAGAACAAAAAGGCATTTAAGAGATAATAGCTATTATTCATTACTAGTTAGATTATGTACTCAATTCGGATGTGTGTTACAAACTATCTAAATCATTTTAAATGTAAAAAAGAAGCAAGTTATTATTCCCAGGAGGTATTTACTTAAGATATTCTAGGAGCCAGGCAAAATATTACTAATGAGAAAGTCTGGACTTCTCAATAAATGTGGAGAAGCTATTCCTAGGGTCACAAAGTAAGCACCCTTCTATGGTAAGGTTTAATTTTTCCATAATTATGGAAAGAACAGACCGTTGCTAAATGTGTGCTATAGGATTATTTTATCTTCTTTCACAGGAAGGTGGACAATGGAGCAATAAAACATACTTAACTGTATATGAAAGAAAACCTGTTACTGGAAATCATAGAGGAGTTGACCCAACAGATCTGCTGATTGTGCGTCAGGGAAATGTTCTCCTCCTAGCTCCATTTTAATCCACAGAGCTTATTCTTGGATGTGCCTGGCAAAAAGTAGGTCCTTGCCAAATAGAATCCAACTTTTTAATCAGCTATACTGTGGTCTAGGATGGCTTACTTTAAAAATTATCTCAGACTGATTAGTAAAAAAGAACAACCTTCATTCAATTACCAAAGACCCAGTGAGCATGGCAGCATGGCAACCAGAACTCTCCATAACCAACCAGCAACTTCCACAGTGTCCCAGCATCACTGAATACAAAAACATTTGCCACAGAGTACTTTGAAAAGTCACTCTAGAGTCAGGATATTTAACCAGAGGAGGATTCAGAATGGACAATAAATGATGGTCAGTTTATTTCTCTAGGTTGTTATTATCTCTCTTTGAAGTTTTAAAAAATGGATTTAATAATTGATTTTCCAGAACAAGGGCCAAGAGCATCTTGGTGAGTGAATTGTCTTTTAGCAAAAGTGTTCTTATCTGCACTCAACTAATATTTAGCTACTTCTATTTTCTTTCTATTCTCTTTACTGAGAACCACTTTTTAGTAAAGAATCAAAAGCACAGGAATACCCAATATTATAGTGATAACAAAGAATCTACCAGTGAATCATTAGTTTTGTATAAACAAAAGCATGGAAGTTGAAAGTTACTATTCTTTAAAACAAAAGTATGCATTATAAAACATCTTAAATAAAACATCTTAAAAGCTGAAATTTTTGAATACTTCCCAAGCAATTTATTAATTTAAAAGATGGCCTTCCATTTTCTCCATCTGTTTTAAAGACTAAAATATGAAATAGTGATGTCCCTTACTCCAATCCATACATAAAACCTGACCGCCTATGCTAAGATACTAGGAGTATCTGCAAAATTATTAAATAGGAGAGATGGATCTTCAAGTATGGGGTTAGTGCATAACAGTAGACCACAATAAACTTCTTTGCTCTGTCTACAATGCAAGGAGTCACTGAGCTGTCTATGAACCAGGAAGAGGGCTCTCACCAGACACCTAATCTGCCAGCACTTTGACCTTGTACCTGTCCATCTCCAGACCTGTAAGAAATAACTTTTAGTTGTTTATAAGCCATGCAGTCTACAGCATTCTGTTTCAGCCACCTGAATGGACGAAGACAATGTGTCTGCCAGAAGATAACACTGGGAGCTGTGCTAAACTTTTCCAATGACTTCTCTCATTAAAGCATTAGTCATTATAGCTCAAGTTTCTGGTAGTTAAAAAAAAAAAAAATGTTTAAAGTGCCTCTTTGCCACAGTCATGTCCGTACCTGTACCAGCATCAGTCTTCCTCCCTGGCTCGGGCTCTCATTGTTTGCACGTTAGTGCACCTTAGCCCCAGTCACTCTAGAATGAGGCTGGGTGTTCCATAGAGCTCTACTGCAATCTCTACCCATCCTTGGTTTTCTATCACCGCCCTTGTGTGCTGGCACAGCTGTCCTTATGCCACTGTTATTAAGCAATATCCATTCTGTATGTCAGTCAGCACTGATGCATTTCAATATTTTAACAATCAGTGCATTTATACTGATGCATACAAGTGGAACATCAGTCTTGCCT